TCCTAAGACAGCTGCCCATGTTTCAGATAGTTTGCGGTTTATGTCTATGTCCTATTTAAAAAAATGTACAAGATGATGTAAAAATAGACTGTCATAAAAAAAAGATTAGACAGTCATCGGTCAACCTCAAGGAGGTGCATCTGTGATGTGTGAGGCTTCAAGAGTGTGGATTTTTGTGGTGGGGAAAATAAGTAGCTGATATATTGAGATCACAATCACTTCCCATTAATGCTTAGTGTATGTGAAGGCTTTCAGAGGGGCAAAGATAAGAAGTAGATGAAAGGGATGAGAAGAAATAAAGAGGACAATGAGGAAGAAGAAAGTAAGAGAAGAGGAGTCTGATTCTGAGCCTCTATGAATCCCGTGCTGTTCTCTGGGTCCTGCTCTAAAGGAGTGAGGTAGGTTTCACCCTTTTTCTCACCTCTTCTCATTCTCAGTGACTTTCCCTTCATCTACACTGTACCCAAAGCCTGCCTCCGCTAGGAGCCTTCCCAGATGAAGAAGGTAAACCCTTGTTAATCTCGTCCTGCTGGATCAGGTCTACAGCTGCAATTCTTCCTCTGGCTTCATTCTGTTTTCCACCATGATTAAATACTTATCCTTCACCTCACACCCCAACCCCGTTTGCCTTTGTTCTAGACATAACATTTGAAGGCCTTTGAGTTTTGCTCCAATAATCAGAATATCCCTTGTAATTGCTCATCTTTTCCATTTAGTTAGATAGCTCCTGAAGCCCTGCTGTGTGTCAGGCATTAGGACCCTAAAGGACCCTAACATCCTGCAGTTTCACCAGTACCTTTTCACTTATTGTGCACATCAGCAGTGATTCTGAGATGGAATAGTGAGGAACTGCATTTAGGTGAGTATGTTCCCACTCTAACATAGCCAACATACGACGGTATAAATTTTCATGAAAGGTAAAGGAAAACTCTCCACTCCAAGGGAAACTTTTCTTTGAGTTCTCTTGGTACTGTTAGAGACCTAAATCCAGCTGGACAGGATTATCCAGGGTTTACTTCCTTCATCTGATGTAAACAAAGCCCTCTTCTGCATTTATGTGATAGCAAGGTTTGCAATTGTTTTACTCTTCACGCTATTCTCAGTGTGAGACAAGTTCACATATTGATTTCTCAATTACTATTTATGTTTCTAAGTGCTTCAGGTGAGGATGGCTAGCATAAGAAGTCAAGATCTGAACAACAAAACAAAAATGAGTGGTATTATTTTCTTCTATTTTTCATTCTCCCAAAATGCAAAGTCTATTTTGATGGTACATAGATTGTTTCGTTTGACAAATATTAATCAGCACCTTCATCATGTCAGGGACACTATCAAGCTCTAGGAATGCAGAAGTGATAAAGACAAAGTGACTGTCACCAAGGAATGTTGCAATAGAAAAGATAAGACAGCTACTGGGGTCACCTTGATCCTGAATACCCATAAAGGCTGTGAGACTGTCTATGAAGTCCAGAGGATGGAGGACTCAAATGTGGCCAGGAGACCAGGCAAGTCTCCATGGCGGTGATGACATTGAACTGGATGATAGAAGTCATGGATGATGGGTGGGAGGTGGCCAAGAAGGGTCTTGCTCAGTTCTAAGTATTGAAGGTGACCATCCTCCTCCAACCCTAGATAGAACTCAATAAAAGTTACACTCCCACTCAGCCCCTCCCAGGTCATCTAGCCTTATCCAGAACTTCTACCCCCACTCACGCCAATCTGAAGGCCCAGACATCTGCTCAGTTACTCACCCGGGAATCCTTTTGACCTAAATCCCAGCTGCATGTAGCTAAGGAATCCAGCCCTGGGAATTGTGAAATACCCGGATAGATAATCTGCACCATGGCTGCCCTCCAATAATGTGTGGCCTGGAGGCTTCAGTTGGAAGGTGTATAAAAGGCCCCTTCCTTGTCAGCCCCACAAAGCCTCCAGACTCCTCTGGGATGACCTGTTCCCACATCTTCCTTTAGGGTGAGGTACTTCTGGGTGGGGAGACACTTGGGTGGCCTCACTCAGATGCTGTTAAGGGAGCCCCATCTCTCCTCTCATCTCTTTCCAGGGAGTAGACAAGCCAGATAGAAGAGGTTTTGGCCAGGGAAAATGGAATCAAAGTGGGTCTCAACAAAAGCTCAAATGATTTAACATGAGAGGAAAGATGCAGTCAGGGAGCTAGGAATGCAGAGAGGACACTCACGGGCTGAGGGGTCTCAGAAGAAGGCTGAGGGAAGTGGCCTGTGTGTTCAACGGTCACAGTTTGTTTTTCTGCTTTGACAGGAAAAGCACATTGTCAATGTGGTTGTTAGTGTGTGGATTCTTAGGGAATTCCCACAATGATTTAGTCTCTCCAAAAGTTCAGCCTTTTCAAATCCATTTCCTCCCTTCCTGGCATGGATTTTAGCAGGTTGTAAATGCCAGGTTGCATTTTAAAACCTTAACACCCCCCCACCCCTGCCAACACACAATCCACACACATACAACACACACACACACACACACACACACACACTGTGTGTGTGCTCCAGCTCATGAGAAAGAGAAACAGACACCAAGGTCCCTAATCTAACTGAATGTTCTTTCTCCTTCCAGCTTCCATCCACAACACAGTGATGTCCCAGCAGAAGCGATCCTGGGAACCCGCACGTGGGCCCGTGTGCTCCCATCCTCAGGGCTCAGCGCCCTCCCTGGCTCCCTGCTCTGCTCCTTGTGCCCCCTGTTCTGGAGGCTGTGGTTCTGGTTCCCAAAAACTTCAGAACCAGAACCGGCCAGGCACTAGAAGGGCTCACCGAAAGCCCCGCTGCCTCAGTGGGGGCACGACCTACCACATCAAAGAGGAAGAGTGTTAAGGGGGTCAACCCACAGGGCAGGCACAGGTACATCTGTTCCCGCCTACCTGTGTCTGCTGTACCCATTCTGCTGGAAGGCTCAGCTGACTTCCTGTGATTTGGGCTGAGAAACACTTTCCCAGCTCCTGCTCATCGGAGCAAAGAACTGGGATAAGTGACTCTTCCGCCTTGTCCTCCATCCAGCCCCTGGGTGCAGCAACAAAGCAATTTTTCCCCTCCGGAGCCCTGCTGTGAATCTTCACAGTCTGGCTGGTAGGTGCCCAGGCCTCCACAGGTGGATGTGGCCCTTCCTTCTGCCCTCCTAAGACAGCTGCCCATGTTTCAGATAGTTTGAGGTTTATGTCTATGTCCTCAGCATCCTCCTAGTCATCTACCTGTGTCATCAGAAGATTCTGGCACTGATGGCTTCTGAGCAATAAACATCTGTTGGAGACCTACTGTGTACTGAGTGCTGTGTTCACAGGAAGATTGCAACTTGGGAGCTATGATAAAGTCTCCATTAAAGACATTCCTTTTGGGGAGAGGGGTTTCTTTTGTTTAAGAATAAGAGTATTATATTAGAACAAATGCACCAGGAAATAGTTTTGTCTCCAGAAAAGCTTATAATCTAGTAGAAAAAGCAATATTTACTTTAGGTTGAAATGCATAGACTGATAGATGTAATATTAAATTGATTGACTTACTTATTTTTATTTCTCATTTTTTGTCCTGGAGAACAAATAGGTCACATTGGTGTTCACAAGTGCTTCAGGATAGTGAACACAAAAAGTCAAGGTCAGAATAAAAGGTCAAAGACAGCAGGGACTGAGTCATCCTGATGTTGTGGACCAAAGGGGTCTGCTGGGCCCTGGAAGGAGAAATCAGAAATGGAGAGGGTGTGCCTCTTGGAGGACAGGAGAACTGGCCCCATGTGGTAGTGGCATTTAAACAAGACCTTCAAGGATAAGCAGAATTTGGAGACTGGGATGGAGTGTGGAGAAAGAATTCTCCAGATAATGAGCACAGAGAAGTAAAGGGAAGCCGGATGCTTGTGGACAGCTGGGGGCCAGTGTGGCTGTGGTGCATGTGGTGCTGGTGGAAGGCAGCTCAGAAGCCCCCAGCTCCCCAGGATTCCAGCCAGCTGAGTTGATTGCACTAAGGTGTAAAATCCCAGCTACCAAAATGTAGCTGAGGATAACCTGGACACAGTTCAGGACCTGTCCTTAGGGCGAGGGAGGCCTTAGAGTAAGGATTGGGCTGGAAAGGCTTGAGTCTCAAATGTGTTGTATAATAATATGAACTCCAGCTAAAGATTGAACATTGATTCTCAATTTCTGGAAGGACTCCCTGTATACACACACACACACATACTCACATATACATACACAAACGTGTAGATACTGTATGTGTGTGTGTGTGTGTGTATAATTACCAAACACCCAACCCAATAGATTATATCACCTGGTTTTGGAGCAGAATAGGGGCCTCTGTATCATTTCCAGTACACAAGTTGATTATTTCCAGAGTTTATCAAGTCACCTGATTTTACCTCTGTCATAAAATATAGATGTGTCATAATTATGTATAATTCTGAATGTGTAATTTTTCTCATTAAACAAATGATGCATACCTGTATAAAGATTTCTTAAGATATAAAAGTATAAGGAAGATGATTAAGACCGACATAAAATTTTATCACCTAAAAATAAACATTGCTGGCCCTCCTTGGTGGTGCAGCGGGTTAAAGCACTGCACTAAGAAGCTTAAGCCACTTCCGCATGAGTTCGATTCCCGCCTCTTCCCGCCTGCCCCGGAGGTGACCACTCTGTCTCTGGTGAATTCTCTCACCCTCTGCATCTCTGGCCTGTACCCCAGTTCTGTATGAATAAATAAATCTTTAAAAAAAATAAACATTGCTAATAATATAATGGAAGTATTTCTAAACCATAGAAATCATACTATAGTATTCTTTCAGATTATTTTCTAAACTTCTTTTTGAATTAACAGTGTGGTTGTCATTACTCTCCCATGCTAATCAACATGAACCAGCATTATTATACTGCAGCATGTGAACATGCCATGATCTATGTAACTAGTTCCCTAATAGTGTGTGCTCACCTTGTTTGCGCCCTTCCACTATCTGAACAATGGCAAAATGAACATTCTCATTGGTGATTATTCTTAGTTTTTCTTTTTTTTTTT